GAGCTCACTTGGTAGCCCAGGCTGGCCTCGAACTCACAGAGATCCGCCTGCCTCTGCCTCCCGAGTGCTGGGATTAAAGGCGTGCGCCACCACGCCCGGCTCTGACGTGGGTTTTGAATGGTCGCGCTTGCACAGCAAGCGTTTCTACCAACCAAGCCACCTCCTCGCTCTCGTTTCCACTCCTCACTCCTCTCCATAGTTTATTTGGCAGTGGAGGAAACGTGGGGCTAACCTGCTGGCCCCGAGTCCAAGCGCTGCCTCCCTGCATCTGAACACAGGAGGCTGGCGCCAGAGCATCACTATAGCGTACTGACGTAGGGCATCACTGCTCCACGTGCTCAGAATAATGACTACATGAGTGGGTGAAGGATGCCACTGTGGCCACCGCGTCCGTCCCTTCAGACCCTAACATGGCACATCCAGGCTCTGGGCCCCACAACAGCTTGGACAAGTAATTTCAGTGCTTCTCCCAAGCTCTAGAAGGAGACCGAGCCCTCCTGCTTCCCCTTCCCCATCTGCCATACAAAGAATGGAAGCTAGATCGTCCCTCAGATCCTTTCCAACATTCTCCCCGAATCCCTGGGCAGAGACCCAGGGTGCCACGTGGGTGGGTCTCGGGAGGGTTTCCTGCTGCTGCCCCCAAGATCTCCTGGTGGGTTCTCTTTGATGCCTCTCTGGTGGTGGCAAGGGTACAGAAGGGCAAGACAGTCTTGGGGTAGGACTTGAAGTATCTGGTGATCTGAGAGTCTCCATTCTTCTCCTCAGTGCCATTTTCCTGGGCTTTCTTGAGAAAGTGGAAAGACAGACCTGTCTGCCCCTACCCCTCCACCCCCACCTCTCATCTGTCACCCTTGATGAGTCTCTCCTTTGTGCCCCCCAGGAGGGAGGCTCACCCACCCCTCCCAGCTTTGTTTTCCTTAAGGGGAATGCTGGGGACCGGCACAGAAGTGTCACCCACTGGGAGATGAGAGAAATGGCATTGGCCTCCATCCCAGAACCTTCCTTTCAGCGTGGAGGGAACAGGGTGGTCCTCAAAAACCTCGGATTCTTTCCATTAGGGTGGGGACAATGAAGCAGAAGCTGGGAAGCGCTCAAGGCCGGTCTTGGCTACGTAACAAATTTAAAGCTAATCTGGAATATATGAGACCCTGTCTAAAGAGAAGTGGACTGGAGGGGAGGGGATCCGTCAACTTTCTTAGAGTGCCCCCCACACCCACCCGATATACAACGTAAAGAGACGGATTTCCCACCCATCACCTCTGGGGACCCTGGTTGGGGGAATTTAAAGAGACACCCCCCACGGGACTTGGCCGTCCTAAACTACGTCTGGGAGTCCGAGGACCCCGTCCTGGCCCCGCCTCCCGCCGGACGGCGCAGGACGCGGGGAGGGGAGCCGGGGGCGAGGTCCGCCCCGAGAAGGGG